GAGGACAAAACTCCTCTTTGGATTATGAGTTTTTAAAACTCCTCTTCATTCCTACATAATTGTGTTAATTTATCTTATTATTGTCTCAAATTCAGTTTAGCAAAAATATCACTCCTAAACTTTAATAAAATCTGTTGGCTAATATTAACATAAACACCTTGCTTTGCATGGAATTGCGCTGACCTTTGATGTATATGCTGTATAGTTGTCTTAATTCCAAATTTAAGAATGTGTAAACAAAAACAAAAGCTCTTGCATTTTTAAAAAGATTAAGTGAAGTTGTAGAGCACATTGATGACCTATGTAAACACAATGGATTTGCTCAAGGGACTGCTTCAGTGGCCTTTACATACCAAGGTCAAGTTCAATCTGACATGGCAAACTTATTCCAAAAATACAAGTCATTTTTAGAGGCCACATTTATTTCCCCAAAGACATTTCTATATGCTATAAAAATGACAGTCATTTTATGTAGACCCCTTTATTCATTTGCCACTATTCTCTGTTTCTTTTTAGGATTTCTGAGGATTTTCATTTCCTATCGTATATCCAAACCAACCTCACTCTATCCCTTAGAACTTTCCAGAAAAATATCCAAGAATTAATAAGCAAGCAAAAGAATATTTTAGAGAAGTTTTATAGACTGTTCAACTGTCACATATGCCAAAAAAATCATTGTTTTTATATAGTCTGGTAAATGACCTGATGATCTGTGTAGGAAATTAGTTGTTTTATTCACTTATATACTTATGCATTACACCATTATATAGGCATCCACTGCGTTGGGGAATGAATACTTACAAAATATTTGAGTTCGAAGGCCTTTGTCAAATAAGATGAAACTTAGTNTAAAAATAAATGAAAAAAAAAAAAAGAAAGATACCATGTGCTACAACTAAGACCCGATGCAGCCGAGTAAATAAATACTTTAAAAAACCACCAAAAACGCTACAGAGAGAAGATGATGACTGTTGCTGTGTTGCTATGTTTGTCTGTCCCCCTTAAGGGAAAATAGACTTACTGGCACAGTGTTGGGTGGAAGAAAATGTCAGTATACTGCAAGCTGACTTAAACAAGGTTCCTGGGGGTTCAGCTCCCTCACCATAGTGGGTAAAAAGTCGTGACCCACTGAGATTCAAACTAAAGGCAAAGGAAAGTATAATGCACAAAGGGAGTCACAGAATCCAATTAAGGCCTCAGCCGGAGAAGCTGTGCTTACTTTTGCTGTGTCACGTTGCTTTGTTTGTGTTCCTTTTTGCAGCCAAGAACTTGGACTGGTATAGTCTCCAGATTTGTTCTTAACTCATTTTTCTGGAAAGTGATAGAAAAATCACAGTCCAGTTTAAGTTTATAGCTATTGGAATAATATAAACTTGCATCAATTTTAAATTATAGTATCTAAATTAATTATAATTTAGGAAGAATTATTGTATTTCAAGTAGACAGACATATACATTTTCAAAATGGGATTTATTTGATTTAAATATTTATTTGACTTAAACATTTCATCAAGTAGTGAATGGTAGTGACATGGAAAATTATTAATTTTTAGTGTCATAGTATTTTATGATTAAAAATACTTATTTCTCAACTTTACATAAAATCTTTTCTGTATTAATAATGTATTAATACATTTTAATAATAATCTTTTCTGTAATAATGACATTTCAACTAGTCTCCACCATAAAAATGAACCCTTTTCTTAAATATTCTTAATAATAAAGTAATAGAGTATGGAAATAGAGCATTACTACACTAGTATACTAAATTAAGTAGCTTATTATTGGGGAAGAGTGTCAAATTTTTAATTTTAAGCATTTTTCATTATTGAAGAAACCGTAGTATACCATGATATTTAGTACATTAAACTCACATAGATATTTTGAGTTTTAAGAACTGATAACTAGGCTGTGGAATGGAAATAAGAATTTCATAAATGTTAAGATTATTTGCTACCAGAAAAGAAAACTAAGTCCTGCAGGGTACATGCTTTGGATCATACAAAGAAAATAACGTAATGATTTGGGGTTGTTGGAGTCTTTCAAAATAAATTAGTAGTTATGTAAGAATATTATTTCAGTGTTTACAGAGTAATTTATCACAGAAAAATGTTCAATTAAGATCCCAAAATGATTTACCACAGACATTTTAAGCATATCCAAACATTTTCCCATAAATTAAACATGATGTAATTGACTGTTACGTTAGCAATGTACCACTGTTGATTCATGTGGAAATCACAGACGTTTCACTGATTATTATCCTTTCACCATGTATTAATGTAGAGGTCATAGGTATTTTCACGAGATTTTCAGTAAATCAACATTAATGTACCATTTTAAAGATTGAAGCAGTTTTCAAAATGTCATAGTCCATTTATGCAGGTTCTTATACTGTTTAGAACTTACAAATAAGTGGTATTAGGATTACTTCAAGTAAAACTATGTATTTAAGTAAGTCATTTACCCGTGAGTGTTTCTTCATGTTTACTAATACATGACTTGTGTGTGCTCAGTCGCTCAGTTGTGTCAGACTCTTTATTTATTTATTTTTTTAAAAATTCATTTATTTGTGTGTGTGTGTGTGTCAGACTCTTTGAGACACCATGGGCTGTAGCCTGCCAGGCTCCTCTGTCCATGGAGTTTTCCAGGCAAGAATGCTGGAGTGGGTTGCCATTTCCTACTCCAGGGGATCTTCCCAGATCTGGGATTGAACCTCCGTCTCTTGCATCTCTTACTTTGGCAGGCAGATTCTTTACCACTGAGCCACCTGGGAACCCCCAATACATGACTTATTATCTGCTAAAAAGTGATTCTTTTTTATGGCTGTTCATTCTGGATATTCTAGCATAAAACATAATTAAAGCAGTAGGCTATTTCATAATTCTGATCTTTGGGTTTCCTAATAATCACACAAATTATTTATTCCATCTTTATTTATATCTAGATAAGCACCCAGAACAATCTAGGGTAGATTGAGAGTTTATTTCACATGTAAAAATGTTTTCGAACTTTTAAATAAGTGTTTTTAAACAAGGAAAAATAAGAATGGAAAAGTTAGATGGAGCCAGGAGTAAGGTTAATATCTAAAAAGCCTACACTTGCTACTGAACTGCCAATTTGGCTCCAAGCTCTCCAGCAGCCAGATATTCCTTAAATAGCTTGAGGCTGTCTTTACACAGAAGCAAAAACTGGTCTGAATGACCTTGAGGCTACTCAGCCTAGCTTAGTGCAGTATAAGAAGATTACAAGTGAACCATGCTTTACACAATAGATCATTACTGATAAACTGTGCAGAAACAAAAATTTTGTACATGAAATAATGTTATAAATATACTCATGGAAGGATCATAAATGATCCCTTTTAAAGAAAACCAAAAAATGACTCCTTGTGTAACATGGAACTAATACACATGCTTCTCTCATGTGCTTAGAATTTTTCATATTAAATTTTCCAAAGAGTCGATATGTAACAAAAGGCCATCCTCTCATCTCAATATCATGGTAGTAGAAATATTTAATGTATGCACCAACGAGAGTAGATTTAGACTATGTAAAATCCTTTAACTTGTGTTTGTTCAGCTGTATTTATCATGTTTCATTGCTTTTGTTCAATTTTCTGAGTGCATAGGGCAACCTACAATTTAAATTCCTTTGTACAATACACATGTATTATCCAATGTTTGAAAATAGAAATACACACATCTTTAGTCGTATTCAAAGATAACTCTAACATTCACCAGTTATAGACTACCATGGTAAACTCTAGATATTGAACCAGGTATCACTTAAAATATCTTCCTTTTTTTTTTTTTAAAGCTTTGCATTTACTAAAATGGGTAATCTTTTATGATCCTTGAAATAAAAACAATCAGATGAATTAGTTTACACCTAAGGGGAGCTTTATGAAGTTATCAGTTTCCTATTTTGCAAGAGAGAAGCACAGGGTACCAAGAGTGTTTTCCTTCCTGTTGTATTTCAAGGCACCACACTGTTGCTGCTGCTAAGTCACTTCAGTTGTGTCCGACTCTGTGCAGCCCCATAGACGGCAGCCCACCAAGCTCCTCTGTCCCTGGGATTTTCCAGGCAAGAGTACTGGAGTGGGGTGCCACTTCCTTCTCCAGGGGATCTTCCCCGACCCAGGGATTGAACTTGGGTCTCCCGCATTGTAGGCAGATGCTTGTTTAATGAAGGTGAGTTAGTTGAATATTATTTCATGATGACATTGCTTAAGTGTTCACCTATGATAATTAAATTAAGCTTCAGAGATACTCTTATGAGAACAGAAATATGACTTATATGTCATCTATAAAAGCAATGAAACAGAAAATGTAACAGTGTTACATTCTCATTTAGAGAAGCATAAGTTTTTGTAATACTGTCTGGTATTTGCAAATGCTAAAAGAACTAAGTCAAAGAAAACAGTCAAATTAGAGTCTTTGCTTATAATCAAGATTTCATAACAAAATGAAAAGTCTAACTTTTACTTATATTTAGTAAGTTGAAAAGCATTTTAGGGCAGTTGATCCACTTAGACTGAAAATGTTTCAATATGAATAAGTCAGAAAATAAATCATTAGCAACACCTAATGAAAATACAGTATTGCAGATCAAGCAACAGATACCTGTCTAGCTTATTCCAACACCAATGAAGACCAGAAATACTATTCAACCGTATGACAAACTGTGTACATTAAGTGACAAAAGCTATTTTAAAAACAAGTGGGAAAGTACACTTAATTTTCCCACAAAGCATTTATTTTTACTGTGTAAATATTAGGTTGATACAAAAGCAATTGTGGTTTCAGACCATGAATTTTAAATCATTATAACTAGGTTCAAGCACATCTTTAATAATCAAAATAGGAACCGCTACAATCAACACATTTTTGCCAACAAGAAATAAATTTGTTTATTCTTGTAGTGTAAAAATCTGTGCTTTAGGATTTGAAGAACTCTTGGAAAGTATTTTCTGCCTCCTGCTGGTTGTGGAGACATTTTCCCTGCAAAAATTTGTTGAGATGCTTGAAGAAGTGTTAGTTGGTTGGCAAGAGATCAGGTGAATGTGGCAGATGAGGCAAAACTTTGTAGCCCAATTCATTCAACTTTTGAAGCATTGGTTGTGGGATGTGTGGTCAGGCGTTGTTGCAGAGAAGAATTGGGCCCATTCTGTTGACCAATGCTGGCTACAGGCGTTGCAGTTTCTGGTGCATCTCAACGATTTGCTGAGCATACTTCTCAGATGTAATGGTTTTGCCAGGATCAGAAAGCTATAGTGGATCAGGCCAGCAGCAGACCACCAAACAGTGACCATGGCCTTTTTTTAGTGCACTTTGGCTTTGGGATATGCAAAGTGGGATCCAGCAGCTGAGCTGATCATCTCAGGTTGTCTTGTAAAATCCACTTTTTCTCACATATAACAATCCTATCGAGAAATGGTCCATTGCTTTTGCATAAAATAAGAGAAGACAACACTTCAAAACAACGATTGTTTTCTTTTTTCGGGCAGCTCATGAGGCACCCATTTATTGAGGTTTTTCACCTTTCCGATTTGCTTCAAATGCCGAACAACTGAAGAACGGTCGACACTGAGTTCTTCGGCAACTTCTCGTGTAGTTGTGAGAGGATTGGCTGCAATGATCCTCTCTGTCAGTCACTGTCAACTTCCAATGGCTGGCCACTGCACTCCTCATCTTCAAGGCTCTCATCTCCTTGGCAAAACTTCTTGACCCACCACTGCAATGTACATTCATTAGCAGTTCCTGGGCCAAATGTGTTATTGATGTTGCAAGTTGTCTCTGCTGCTTTACAACCCATTTTGAACTCGAATTAAAAAAAAAAAAATCACTCAAATTTGTTTTCTGCCTAACATCAGTTCTATTGTCTAAGATAAATATAAAATACACAGCAAGTAATGTCATTAGAAGAAAAACATAAAGTGAGAAATGTGCATTAAAATGATGTATAACATAACCACAGTTATTTAAGAATGTATTCCCATGTCAAACAGCAAAGTTCAGCAATGCAAAACAGCAATTACTTTTGCACCAACCTAATATAAAGAAATTTAAAGCATTTACTCTGTAACAGAATTTGAATAGAAGACAGGAATAATTAGAAGATGTTCTTAATGACCCAAAGCTATTGTCGTTTAGTTCTTCTGAGAAAGTTAACCTTAACCATAAACTTAGCGATAACCACTTAACCATGAAGTACTGTTTAAGGGCTAGAGTTGAATTTACCTTTATTTATGTCCATTACTAAAAATGAAATTATAGCTAGTCAGCCAGGATATCTTTAACACACACACACACACAAACAAAACAGAGTGAGAATAAAAGTGCATTAGTGAATTAACTGTAAAATAACACATAGAAATAAAAGATAAAATAATTATATCAAGGTGGAAGGCAAAGAAAAAAAATTTACTAAAAAGTATTGAAAAGGGAGCCTTAAAGCCATGTTGAAAAGAAATTTGTAAGAGGAAAGAAGAAAGGAGCAATATAAACATCTGCTGTAGTTGAAGGAAGAAAGGGAGGGAGGGAAAGAGGGAGGCAAGAAGAGTATGATCTCTTTTTATTTATGTATGTATGTATCCGTATATTTATTTATTTCCGGCTCTGCTGGGTCTTTGTCGCTGTTCACCGGCTTTCTTTAGTTCCTCTGAGTGGGGGCTACCCTCTAGCCGCAGAGCTCCGGCTTCTCATTGAGGTGTCTTCTCTTGGGGAACACAGACCCTGTAGCATGGTCTCAGTAGTTGTGGATCATGGGGTTAGTTGCCCCAAGGCCTGTGGGAACTTCCTAGACCAGAGATTGAACCCATGTCCCTTGCACTGGCAGGCAGATTCTTAACCACTGGACCACCAGGGAAGTCCAGAGTAAGATATCTCAAAGTTCACTCCAAATTGAAGACCCTGCTCCAGAAGATTGTTCTCAGTCTCTTTTCTCACCAGAGTGGCTATTTCAGAAGTGTAAGCTCTAAACATAATAGCTTTCCTTGGAGGTGAATGGCAAGGAGTTTTTTAAATGTTTGTTTTTTTCTTTCCAGTTTTGGTGTGTTTGGTTGGTTGGTTTCTGTCACTGGGGGTGGGAAGAGAAAGCTCTATCTAGTCTAATGGCAAAGAAAACACTCCATCATTTATTTATCTTATTTGTTAATTCTCTTGCATATCTCAAGCAACATTTTAAGAAATTTAAGAAGAAAAAAAAAATCACCTAATCCTTATTCATATTTTAACACCATTGCTTCCATTATTCAATGTTATTGAAACAGAATAAACTAGAATAAACTTTCTAGTTTATTCACATCACATGGTATAATCAAAGTAAACAGATCATTTAGTGCCCTGATTTTTAACATCTTGTTTTTCTATGTTATTATGCAGTTTATATTTATCATTATTTGAGGGAACAAAGTATTCCATGTTGTTTACTTCTCTATTTATCTATTGTTGAATAATCAGTATGCTCCTTAGGTTTTATTTATAATTGACACTATATTTGAATTCTCTCTCCATTTATGGTTTTTTTCTTTTTTAATTATTGCCTTAGGATAAATTCCCGGGAATAGGAGGAACTGTGCCAAATATTATGAACATTTATAGTGCACTTTGTAAATGTTGCCAAATTGTTTTCTAAAAGGAATATACCAATTTATACTTTTCATCAGCAGTATCTGAACATATCAGTTTTCCCCAAAAGTTGACAGCAATTTTGCATTATCATTTGACCACACAAATGCTTTGGGATGTTTTCCTCCATATCCAAAAGGGATAAGTAAATGAACTTGAAAAGAATGGAACTTTTAACTTAGTTTGGAATGACTGAGGGTTCTTGTTTTCATTCAATAGCTGTTGTTACATCCACTCAATGAAATATTATGCAGGAATAAATAAGGATAAACACAAATGCTACATAGTAACATAAAAACCACATTCTGGAATTCAATTCAAAGGAAAAGGAAGACTTAAAAGGGTTTGGCTTGTCCACTTATGTTTCCAAACCCACACCATCTGAGAGACAACTGTGTATACTCAGCCTCCTTTCATGCCAAAAACTTTCTTGCAACACAGTCTGTTTCCAAGGGTAATACAAATCTATTTTTCCAAGAACACTGCTTGCTGCCTAACCATTTCTAGCTACCTACAAAGTTCAGAAGAGATGGATCAACTCTGAGGTCCTGTAACTTCTCTGGGTGGGTGTAATAAGTCACTTGGGAACATTGCAAAACATTCTTTCATGAAGAATAAGGCATCTATCTAATTCTTTTCCTGGTAGTTATCTATCTGGTCCTTTTCTAATTAATTGCAATTAAATTGTAAAAAATTTATGGTCTTTTTAGAACGTTTGACTTAAACTGCAACATTAACAAAAAATATCTGCTCAATATTAAACTCTTCTATATCCATTTATGTATGGTCAGGTCATTCAAGACGGCTGTTCTCTTATTCTCTGGACGCCCCCCTGCTCAACCAGGCTCTGCTTCTCTCACATGAATATCCAATCCTCTTAATCATGGAACCTAATTAACTGCCTGCGTGCTTGCCCCTTGCCTCAGCTGCTGGTCTCCCTGGTGACTGGCAACCTGACATCAATTCTCCTATAAACGAGGCTTCCAGCCCGGCTGCCCCACCCCCAGGTGGCAGAGGTTGCTGGATTTCCTGCTCGCTGGCTGCCTCACACAGCACACAGGGGCTGCTGCTCTGGGACTCCACTCCAGACAAGGAAGATCTCCTGTCCCTTAAGCCGCCGGTGAGTCTGTCATAACTACAGACTATTTCTTCAGCCTTAAAACTGGGCAAGTACAACAAAGGTCCGTCTTAGTCAAAGCTATGGTTTTTCCAGTAGTCATGTATGGATGTGAGAGTTGGACCGTAAAGAAAGCTGAGCGCCGAAGAATTGATGCTTTTGAACTGTGGTGTTGGAGGAGACTCTTGAGAGTCCCTTGGACTGCAAGGAGATCCAACCAGTCCATCCTAAAGATCAGTCCTGGGTATTCACTGAAAGGACTGATACTGAAGCTGCAACTCCAGTACTTTGGCTACCTGATGCGAAGAACTGACTTATTTGAAAAGACCCTGATGCTGGGAAAGATTGAGGGTGGGAGGAGAAGGGGATGCCAGAGGATGAGATGGTTGGATGCCATCACCGACTCAATGGACATGAGTTTGAGTAAACTCCGGGAGTTGGTGATGAACAGGGAAGCCTGGCGTGCTGCAGTCCATGGGATCTCAAAGAGTCGGACATGACTGAGCGACTGAACTGAACACTTGCAGCCCAACAATTGGTGAGCCAGCCGGGTGGCCGAGAAGACTCCCGTAAATGTCAAGATGTTGGGAAGTAAGGACAGGGAATGAAAACTGCAAGGTATCCCCCCACCCCCACCATGTGGAGCCCTGTGGCCACTGTTTACCATGAAAGGTGTCTTTTTATTCCATTATGTCGATGAAATCCTGTTAACCTCAGAGACTCTTGCTAGTTGAAAAGTAGCAGCCCCAGGCTTGTGCACAGGAATGGCTGATGAATACAGACAAAATGCAGAACCTGGGTTATCACATACCTGGCTGTTTTCTAGTTGGGTGGAGGTGGTGGTTTAGTCACTAAGTCATGTCCGACTCTTGTGACCCCATGGATTGTAGCCTGCCAGGCTCCTCTGTCCATGGGATTTGCCAGGCAAGAATACTGGAGTTGCCACTTCCTGCTCCAGGGGATCTTACTGACCCAGGGATCAAACTCTGGTGTTCTGCATTACTGGTGGATTCTTTACCAACTATGTTGAGCATACCCCTAACGCACCACCCTTAAGCAATTACAGACACAGGCTTTAGGGGTATTAACTCAGGGACAGGTTTGTAAATTAGAATGGCTGGTTACTTGGAAGGGTTTGTTAGGGGCCTGTGACAATAGCAAAATAATTAGAGCATTCTTGGGCTTCAGGTCCCAGCTATGCAAAAGGGCAGAGAGACGATGCAGTGTGATGAAACAACAGCTAAATGTAGCCTACCATATAACAGGTGGAAGACATTACAGGAGGCCTATCCTAGTTATCTAGCAACCCAAAAAGCATTATTTGGGATCTAGAATAGCTATGCATGATAGACCCCCTCCCCCCGCCACTGTAAACATTGATAGAATGAAGGGATCCACTTTTCTTGACCATGAATTCAGGAATGGGCCAATAAAAATGACCTACACTGGCATTTCCACCTTCCTTACAACCCCACTTCTGCCAGGCTACTTAAACATTTGTTGAGACGGGAAACCCACTCTCCCCATGTGTGGTCCCATCCCAGTTCTGATGCCGTGTTAACCCAGAAGCAGGGAGTCCATGCAATCCGAGTTAGACTCCTGACCACCACAAGGATGACTGCTGGTTATTGATCAGGACACTAACTTGCTTTTGCCCTTGCCACAAGCTCTAGCCCCAGAGGAACACATTGTAAAATGGCCCTGGGACTGACAGGTAAGGACTTGGTGGTTTCAGTTTGCTGCCTACAGATCTCACCTGTCTCCTGCCGGACCCCACCTACTAAAGTAACTACTCCAGGTGCTCTACCGGAGAAAGGCACCCTTACGTTACCATGGCGTCTGTCACATCGCTTCTCCAGTATTCAGCACCAGCTGTCAGCACTGTGGGTGGACAGGCAAGATGGTCCTGCAGGCCAGGATGAAAACCACAGGCAGGGTGACGTTGTCTCAGAAGGCTGTTACTGCTTGCATTTTGCTTAGTGGTCGTGATCTCCCCTGTATTGTGCCTGTTAAACATCTTGCATTTCATCCTTAGTCTGAACAGAGGGAATCTGTTCATGAACAGGTGGCTTCACTGCAAAACAAGTATGATTGCTGAGTGGCTAAAGCGAGATGACTGTCGTCCTCTTCTGGACTTCCATGAAAAATTGACTTGTTAAGCTTGTGACCCCCAAATTGTCCATCCCTTGGCCTCTCAATACTCTTTAGCTACAGTTCCTCAATTCTGTATGTGTGGTATATGGTTTCCATGTATCTCTACATACCTGACTCCAGGGGTATCCGGGAAGATGGGTGGACACAGACTGTAAGAATTATGCATGGGTGTAGGAAAGGAGTATATAGTCAGGCCACTCAAGATGGCTGTTCTCTTGCTTTCTGCATAACCAGGCCCTGCTTCTCTCTCGTGACTATCTACTTCTCTTATTATAGGGCCCAATTAACAGCCCGTGTGCTTGCCCCTTGCCCCAGGTGCTGGCCTCTCTGGTAACGGAGCCAACCTGACGTCTCTTCCCCCTGTTGATGGTAGCCTCTTTTTCCCTGAGTAGTGAAGACTGCTGTCGTGTCCCTCCCACTGTCTCTGCACAGTAGGGTATACAACCTTGGATAAGATCCCGCTATCCCTTAAACCATTGATGTCTCTGTCACTTACTCTGGGCTTTTTCTTTAGTCTTAAGGCTGGGCAAGTACAGGGCTTGCCACCCAGCAGTTTATAAGAATGGACTCTGGAACTAGATGGGTTACATTCAAACCCTAGCTTTGTCACTTAGCTATGAGATTTTGCATATTACTTAACCTGTCTTTGATTCATTTTGCTCATTTATAAAATGAAAATAGTGATACCACTTGTCTCAGGACTGATATAAGGATTGAATCAGTTATATTAATGATATCCTAGTGTCTAGAAGCACATAATGAAGCATTGAATAAATTGTCTCTGATGTTGTTACACGAGAAATCTTTCTGTACTGTGCCGACTCCAAGCTCAAGACAGAGTAGCTTCCTAGTGACCTTCATTTCCTCTCCAATTGTCATTTTTTCATTTAAAATAATACATAACAAAGACATATACATATACAAAAACATATACATAATAAGCATACAGTCATGACATAGCTGTCATGACTGTATGCTTATTATGTACCATGCACAGTGCTAAGTGCTTCATATGCTTTATTTTATGAGTCATCACAATAACTATGAAGTTGATACCAGTTTTCAGATGCAGTGACAGAAGCTTAAAGAAACTAAGTGGTATGCCCAACAGCAGCTAACTAGGAAGTGGCAGAACTTAAAAGCAGTCCTGCCTGTCAGACTGTGTGCAGAAAAAGAGAAAATGTACTCAAATTTATCAGTGGTTTCTGGATCATAAAGTTGGAGTGATGATTTAAAATGCCTCTACTTCTCTCTGTTTTATGTGGTAAGAGCATATTTCTCTGATAATATGAGACTTTGCATATTTAAATCTATTTCAAATTCTGTATATATTAGCATTTCTGTTTCATAATGAATAATAGTTCCTCTTATTGCTCACTCCTGTGAACCAAAAGGAAGTCTGTCTTTGAATCAGTCTTTTTATCTTTTGCACAAAGCAGTTCTATTACAGCTTTCTAAAAATGAGTATAGTGTTTTAGAATCTGAATTCCATCTACTTGGTCTTAGCGCAAACATAACTTACATAGATTTTATTAAAATCAAGTTAACATCCAGCATTGTCTTGAGCTTGGCATCGTAAAGTCTCCTTGCTCTTACCCCTGATGTCCCTAAGGGAAATCCCCTGATGAATTTGCATGGGGATCAGCAACAGAACAGAGGCCAAATCAAAGCAGAAACTCAGCCTGGTGACACTCAGAGGAGGCAGATGTGTCCCACACGCCATCACTTCTCTCCCAGAACTTTTAATGAATGGAGAAGAGGTAAGAAAGGCAGTGTGTGGCACATCAGATTTGTGGTTAGTGTCACTAACACTTACTCTACTGCCTGTTAGGTCCTATGTGCTTTTACCAGCGTTTTCCAATTTTATCATCCAAGACCAGTGTGAAATAGGTATTATTAGTTCCTCTTACAGGTAGGGGCAGTAAGGATCAGGTTCAGCAGTTTACTCAGTCACCCAGATGACAGGCAGCAGACTAGAGATTTGAACGCTAATCTGCCAATGGCCTACACTAATCTTTATATAGTGCCACCACCACGTTCATCATTCCTAGTGCCCAGAGGCATAAGAGGCAGTAATCTATAAGAAGCATTATGTATAAGAGCAGATCCATAAATTGGAATACTATAACAACATTAGTAAATAAACATGGTTTTATTTGCCTACCAGTCTGTACTTCCTTTGCTTTTTTATGTAAGAGCTTATTTCTCAATTACATGTTTCAGTTTAGATAGTGTTTGCTAACCTTATGATTCTTGGTATGAATTGCAAGGCAAAAACTCATTTATTGATATATGATAAATCCTAGATCTGATTTATAGAAAACAAATATTTGGAACCATAATGTTACTGTAACTAGAACCAGAGTCCACAGATGTGCTAATTATCCCCTTTTCTGGGGTCTCCGAGAAGATATAACCAGTTCTGTGACCCATCGCGAAGGCTCTCATCATCAATGTTTCTGTCAATTTTATTATTCTATATATCTGTCAACAGGGAGCTTAAATGGGTGTGGACCTATATTGCTTTCAGAACTTTATGAGGATAAGGACATTTTAGACAATGGAATATGTTACTGAAGCGCGTTATGAAGTTTTTTTTTTTTTTTTTTTTTTTTCTGAGAGGCTGAGCTGTCATTTGCCTGGAATGGTTCAGGACAGTTCTGCCTGGAGGCAGGACTATGGACTCATTAACCTTCTAGCCCTGCAACTCTGTCAATCTCAATTCTCTCCGCAGTTTCAATCAGATACAGCGGCCTCTAGTTTCATTCTAGTGGGTTCAGTGTGGCTGTGTGCTCTTGCAATTTTCCATATTGCAAGGGAAAAATAAAGCATCTTCAATATGTGTGGCTGTGTGTGAGGCAGGGTGCATGGTGGATCTTCCCTTACCGAAAGGCTCAGCATAAAATACACTGATAGACAAGCACACTGGTATATAGAAGAGCACCATATGCCAAATATAGAGGATTCTTATCATTTCTCTTTGCATATAGATGAATACACAGCTGCGGCACTCTCAGGAGGCCTCGGAGTCGACTTGGTCCAGAGGAATGACTGTGCTATTTTTGCACTTTCCCTCACATTATTTCTCAAGGCTTGAGGGAATTTAAATGTGACTTACTTGGCAATGACAAGTCTCTGTCCCCCCGGTACCTCCTGAATGAGATCATTTGCAAAAGTCACCTCACCATAGCTCATTCTGTTTCTTCATAGAGAAACAGTATCACTTAGATGGACTCTAGATTTCAAGAAAGGATGGTGTTTTATTTCCCCTTAAAAATGACTCCTTTAGAATGTTACTATTCTAGTAACAGTATTCATTCTAGTATTCATAGTACTTCTGTAATTTACTTAAAAAGTATATGTTCTCTGGAAGTGACAAGGGTCGTGTAATATAATTTTAGTTTTACTAATGAAGAAACTGAGGTTCTGAGAAATTAAATGACCTGGGTAAGGTCTCCTGGTAAGTCAGTGGCATTACAGGCCTAGAGTCCAGCTCTCTGGTGTCCCAGTCCAGAATGCAAGTCTCCTTTCCTTCTGAGGCCCCGTTTGCTATTTAGTTGCTCAGTCATGTCTGACTGTATGCCACCCCATGGACTATAGTCCATCAAGCTCTTTCCATGGGATTCTCCAGGCAAGAATACTGGACTGGGTTGCCATTTCCTTCTCCAGGGTCTGAGGCCCTACATACTCCTGAATGAAACTGATTTTTAGCAAAAGCAGTAAGATCTCTCCTCAGTAAAATGTTACTATACTTATCATTAAGTAGAATTTTGAAACTCTCAAATGTATTCATTGGTGGTGATTTAGTTGCTAAGTTGTATCCAGCTCTTGCAACCCAATAGACAGTAGCCTGCCAGGCTCCTCTGTCCATGGAATTTCCCAGGCAAGAATACTAGACTGGGTTGCCATTTTCTTCTCCAGGGGAATCTTCCTGATCCAGGGGCCAAACCTGAGTCTCCTACATTGCAGGCAAATTCTTTACCAACTGAGTTATTTCTTATACTTGAAGAATTTTTTGAAACAATGATATTCATCCATTCCCCTGGAAAATCTTTTAAAATGGGACAAGTAGTAATCAAGCCAAGTGTAAAATACATAGTGAATTGGAGTCTGGAGAAAGTGACCATTTGGAGTCCTTCTCTATAGAGGGAATAATCAAAGGCCCTGGAAGAGGTGATGACTTGGTTAGAGCTATACTATTTTAGAGAGTACGGATGAGGATTTTAAAAATCAATAAACAAACTCATTTACAGAAATTCTGTTTGTAAGCCACTTTTACAAATACTATGAAAGGTGTCTGTGCTTCCTAAGGTATTTGTATATATTTCTGGCAGAAAGTTTAATGGAAATCAAGACAGCTTTGAGTAAATTTAACCTAAATTACCCAAATTTTCTGTCTCTTTAGAATTTGAGGGAATTCTACAATAGTTGTATCAAGATTGAAGTTAGGTTGCTGTCATTATTAAGCTCCCAATACAATTGGCTATCATAGTTTTCTTACATTATTTTCTTTGTTTCTTCTTACATTGTTTTCTTTGTAGAGACGTGGATCAATATTTCTAATGAGAGAAAAGAAGAAAAATTCAAATGATCCATTTCTCACTTAGCCAAGATTTTAAAAAGCCATTTACTGAATTGCTCATTCATGCTTTTAACCAATACTTATTGCTTGCATAATATGACAGGTAATATAGGAGAATGGGGACTCTGATGTCAGAGTACCTGGTTTAATGTTTAGATGTGGTCTTTTGGTAATTTGTTCCTTAGTGTCCTTGTTTGTAAGATTGGAGGTAAAAATGTCTATTGTTAGATTAAAGGATTAATGTCAAAGCATTTAGAAGAGCATATGATAAGGGCAAAATGTTAACTGCTGCTATTATTATATGTTATGGACTATGGATGGAAGATAAACTAGGTGTGATTTTTTTTTTCCCTCATGGAGAACAGGTTAGTAATTGAAAAATAGTAAACAATTGGATAAATAACTTTAAGCTACAATTGTTAAGTGCTAAGGGAAGTACAACATGAATAATATCATATGGAAATAACATCTCTCCAAATGCTCATGTGTCATTGTCTTGTCTGCAACCAAGAGAACCACACTTCATTTGGCTGTTCCACACCCTCCATGGTGACCGAGTCTCAAAATCTTTGATATTTTTAGGATTAATCATATGCTTTCAAGTGAGTAGCAAATGGAATTTCACATCAGGACCATTGTGTTGGACAGGCATCCTCAGAATAATTTATTTTCCCACTTCTCATTGCTTTATGACCATTTAAAGTTTCAAAAGTGTTGCTCAGACAGTAAAGAATCTGCCTGCAATGCAAGAAACCTGGGTTCGATCCCTGGGTCAGGAAGATTGCCTGGAGAAGGGAATAGCTACCCACTGCGGTATTGTTGCCTAGAGAATCCCACGGACAGAGCGGCCTGGGGAGCTACAGTCCATGGGGTCACAGAGTCAGACACAACTGAGACACTAGCATGTACACACACACACACACAATTTCAAGAAAG